AAACCAAACTCACTGCTGTCAAGTCAGTTCAACTCATCACAACCACTCCTTGGGTTTCTGAGGCATTATCTCTATGGAAGTAGATTGCCCAGTCTTCCTTCTGAGGAGTGGCTAGTGGGTATGAACCACTAGCCCTTCTGGTTAGCAGTCAAATGCTTTAGGCACTACACCACTACAGTAGAAATTAATGAAACAGAAAAGCAATAGAAAGAATTAAGACTAAAAGTTAGTTCTTGAAAATAAAACTGACAAACCACTGGCAAGTTTAACAAAGAAAAAAAAGGAGACACAAATAACATGAATTAGAAGTAAAACAGGCAACGTCACAACAGAACCAACTGAAATAAAAAGGATAATAAAAGAATAGTACGAAAAACTATAAAAAATGGAAAATTTCTAAAAACACAGTGCCCGTCCAAACTAACATAATCTGAGGTACAAAATCTGAACAGATCCATCAAAAAAGAAGAAATTAAACAGGTCATAAAAAAAAAATTTCCAACTAAAAACAGTCCTGACCCAGAAGGCTTCACAGGTGAATTCTACCAAACATTCTGAGAAAAGGTATTTGTATTCCAACTATTCCAGAACACAGAAAAGGATGGAATATGCTGGAACTCACTTTATGAAGCAAGCATAATCCTGATACTAAAACCAGCAAAGAAACCACTAAAAAGGAAAATTATAGATCAATATCCATCATGAACATAGATGCAAGAATTCTCAACAAAATCCTAACCAGGAGAATCCAACATCATATTTAAAAAAAAAAAAAAAGACCATCATGACCATGTGGGATTCATACTATCAATGTAACACACCACATTAAAAAAAAAAAAAAAAAAAGGAAAAATAGCCACAGGATCATGACAAAAGTCAATAACTATTCCCAATAAAAAATGCTCAGTAAAATAGGAATAGAAGGGAAATGACATAATTAAGGGCACAGCATAGCGGCTAAGGCACTTGACTGCTAACCAGAAGGCTGGTGTTTTAAACCTACCAGCCCTCTTGGAAGGAAGGTTGGGCAATCTACTTCCATAGTGATACTGCTTTGGGAACCCAAGGAGGGGTCGCTATAAGTCAGGTCTGACTCGATGGCAAATAACAACAACAACACAAAACCAATGGCCAACATTATTCTCAACTGAAGAGACTGAAAACATTCCCCTTGCAAACAGAAACCAGATAAGGAGACTCTATATCACTGCTATTCAACAATATATTGAAAGTCCTAGCCAGAGCAAGAAAGGGAAATGAAAGGCATCCAAATTGCCAAAGAAGAAGTAAAAATATTACTACTTGGCAGGTGATGTGATTCTATATAGAGAAAATTCTAGAGACCAGAGACTCAAAGAAAATTACTGGAACTAACAGAAGGATTCAGCAAAGCGGCAGGATACAAGATCAACATACAAAAATCAGTCAGATTCCTCTATACTAACAAAAAGAAATCTGAAAAGCAAATCAGGAAAACAATACCATTTACAATATCCAATCAAAAGATTAATTACTTAGGAATAAATCTAACAAGAGGTAGAAAAAACGTATACAACTAACAGTACAAAACACTACTACAAGAAACCAAAAGAGATCTATATAAATAGAATATACCAAGCACATAGACAGGAACAGTTAACATTCTGAAAATATCAATTCTACCCAAAGAAATGTACAGCTATAATACAATCCTGATTCAGATTCTATCATCATTCTTTAAAGAGATGGGAAAACTAATCACCAACTTTAAAGGGAAACATAATGTTGTTGTTGTTATGTGCCGTCGAGTTGGCCCCGACTCATAGCAACCCCTCCTTGGGTTTCCGAGGCAGTATTACTATGGAAGTAGATTGCCCATCTTCCTTCTGAGGAGTGGCTGGTGAGACAGGTAACAGACCCTGGATAATCAAAGCACTACTAAAGAAGAACAAAATAGGATCTCAAAACCTACTATACAACAGACACATAGACCAATGTAACAGAATTGAGAACCCAGGAGTAGATCCATCCACCTAAGGAAAGCTGATCTTTGACAAAGGACCAAAACCCATTAAATGGGGAAGAGGTAGTTTCTTTAACAAAAGGTCCTGGTAAAACTGGATATCCATTTGCTGAAATATGAAACAGGATCCACATCTCTCACTATGCACCAAAATTAGCTCAATATGGAACAAAGACCTAACTGTAAAACATAAAACAATAAAAATCATCAAAGAAAAAAATGGGCAAATTTAAGGGCCCTAATAAATGGTACGAGAAACATAACTAAAAATGCACAAACAGTAGAATACAAACTAGACAACTAAAATCTCCTAAAAGTTAAACATTTATGCACATCTAAAGATGTCACCAAAAGAGTAAAAAGAGAACCTACAGGCTGGGAAAACTTTTTGGCAATGACGTATCAGATGACTGACTAATCTCTAAAACTTCAACACTTCAACAATAAAAAGACAAACAATTCAATTAAAAAATGGGCAAAGGACATAAACAGACACTTCACCAAAGAAGACATTCAGGCTGCCAACAACACATGAAGAAATGATTGTGATTATAAGCCTTTAGAGATACAAATCAAAACAACAATGAGATACATCTCACCTAGCATTAATAGCAAAGTTCAAAACAACAGAAAACAACAAACACTGGCAAGGGTATGGAGAGATTGGAACCCAAATACACTGCTAATGAGATTGTAAAATACTGCAACCACTGCAGAAAACAGAATGCCACTTACTTGAAAAGTTGGTAATAGCAATATTGTATGATCCAGTAATCCCACTACTAGGTATATAACCTAGAGACATGGATAGATATATACATACACGTATTCATTGCAGTATTATTCACAATGGAAAGACGGAAACAAACTAAGTACCCATTAACAGATGAGTACATAAACACACTATGATACACACACACAATGAAATATTATACAATGAACCTGTGAAATACCTCATAGCAAGGATGAACCTAGAGGACACCATGCTGAGTGAAATTAGTCAAACACAAAAGGACAAATATTGTGTGAGACCACTACTATAAAAAGTCAAGGAAAGGTTTTCATGTAGAAAGAAACATCCTTTGATGGCTATCATCGTAGGAGGGAAGGGAGGATAAATCACTTACTAGAGTGTAGACGCATATTAACTTTGGTTAAGAGGAAGGCAATAAACAACAAAGGGGAAGTCAGCACAAGTGATCAAGGCAAAGTAAGACCCAGAGGTGAGAACAAGAGTTAAAGTCAAAATAGCTAAATACTATTATATATAATCCTACTAAGTGCATTCTTCCATTTCAACTTTCTAACTCCAAGTCTTTGAACATTTAATTATAATACTTGGTCTTCTCTAGTTGCTTTTTGAAATCTTCTGTTCAGTTCTTTCACTTCATCACTTCTTCCAATCTCTTTAGCCACTCTCTATTCAAAAGCAAGTTAGAGTCTCTTCTGGCATTCATTTTTGCCTTTCTTCCTTTCCTGTCTTTTTAATGACCTTTTGCTTTCTTGATGTATGATATAATTACTTTCATCCTATAACTTGTCTGGTGTTCGGTCACTGGTGATCAATGTGTCAAATATATTCTTCAGATAGTCTCTAAATTCATGTGGGATATACGCAAGGTCCTATTTTGGCTCCTGGGGACTTGATTTAATTTTCTTCTGTATCAATTTAAAGCTTGCATGTGAGCAATTAACGGTCTGTTCCACAGTTGGCCCTTGACCTTGTTGTGACTGATGATACTGAGCTTCTCCATCGTCTCCTTCCATAGATGTAGTTTATTTGATTCTTGTGTACTCCATCTAGTGAGGTCCATGTATATAGTTATCTTTTATGTTGTTTAAGAGGTTTCTGTAATCAATATGTTATTACAAAACCAAACCAAACTCACTGTCATCGAGTCGAGTCTGATTCAGGAGATCCCTCCTTGGGTTTTCAAGGCAGTATCTCTACAGAAGTGGATTGCCCAATCTTCCTTCTGAGGAGTGGCTGGTAGGTTAGAACCACCAGCCTCCTGGTTAGCAATCAAATGCCTTAGGCACTATGCTACCAGAGCTCCCAATATGTCATTGGCCTTTGCAAAATTCTATCATGCAATCTCCAGTGTCATTTCTATACTGAAGTTGTATTTTCCAACTATTGATGTTTATTCTTCATTTCCAACTTTCACATTCCAAACACCAGTATTATCAATGCATCTTGACCACATGTGGTGAATTTCAGACTGCAGAAAAAAAACAAACCAAACTCACTGCTTTGGAGTCAGATCCAACTCACAGAGACCCCTCCTTTCCAAGGCAGTATTACTATGGAAGAAGGTTGGGCACAACCTTCCTTCAGAGGAGTGGCTGGTGGGTTTGAACCAACAGCCTTCTGGTTAGCAGTCACATGCCTTAGGCACTATGCCACCAAAGTTCCCTCAGGCTGCAGAAGTTGGTAAAAACCTTCAGTTTCTTCATTTTTGTCTTCAGTGGTTGGTACATAAATTTGATTAACAGTCATTTTTATTGGTGTTCCTTGTAGTCATATGGATATTATCCGATCACTGACATCATTTTACTTCAAGGTAGATTTTGAAATGTTCTTTTTGACTTTCAGCCAAACAACAGACAGGATATATTGGTTGGTAGACAGTGGACTGTACGCAAAGTACAAAGTATGAACGGAAAACACGTTACGGAGAAAAGCTCTCTCTTCTTCACTAAGGAAGAATTATATCGAAAACTTTCTTTTGCTACAATAAGAGAAATGAGATGAGTTTAATGTGTACTAACAGTAAACCTATTATTTAACAGGTTAGCAAAGTTAACAAGGAAAGCAACTGATTCAGTTAATATTTTCTCTACATATAACAGTTATTTTCTTCACACAGAGTAGAAAGCTAAAAAAAAAGTATTTCTAAAATATTATTGGTGTTATTTTCCTCTTAGAAGGGAAATTTTTAAGGAAAAAAATAAAATATAACAAGACTTTAACAATACACACAAATTCAGTTCTCACCCGGTCTTCCTTCTTAGGCAACTGATCCTTGATGAGGGTCTTGGTACGCCTGAGAAACCAACCAGACATCTTTTTTGCCAATCTGCGCATGGCCTTTCTGCCAGTAGCTAGTTCTCTTTTCGTTGCTGTGTGTCTTTGACCGTGTTCTACTGGGTCAGAAAACTGCTTCTTAAAGTGGCTCCTGCTACCTAAAAGTCCTGGCACAGCCCTTTGTAAAGGCAATAAGAAAATGTTAGGGCTGTATTAAATTATCTAAAAAGAAAAACTTTGACTTCCATTTTGTAAGACATATACTAAGTCATTTGTCTACTGATGACAGCAATAATAAAATAACAAAAGCCAAGAAAATACAATGTTCTTTCATTACAACAACTTTAGTTTATAACTGTAAGATGATGATGGATTTGGTAATTAGCTTGTATAATTACTTGAAGAACTGAAACTAATAAAGATGGGCTTTAAACTATAATATTAGTACAGAAAAATAGTAAAGTTGAAAATCAAAGCAAGACTCACAAAAGGGTAGTAAACTGGAGAATGAGCAATAAAACACACAAAAAATAAAGGAGATGGCCATGCACAAAGGTTTTCATAGGACTCTCTACCTTGGATAACATGTTTGGGAACAAAAACTTCTGTATGGACAAATAATTGATTTATTCCGATACTAATGAGCTCTGGTAGCATAGTGCCTAAGGCACTTGACTGCTAACCAGAAGGCTGGCAGTTCAAACGCACCAGCCACTCCTTGGAAGGAAGGTTGGACAATCTACTTCAGTAGTGATACCACCTTGGAAACCCAAGGAGGGGCTGCTATGAGTTGGGTCTGACTCCACAGCATATAACAACAACAATGACTAGAAAACAAGGTAATAAACTATAGAAGTATTAAGTAATTTTCTCAAAAAGCGTTTTCACTCACCAGTCCATAACACACCACAGTTCCTTCATGTTGTTTTGAAGAATGGTTCCAGTGAGGCCAATGCGGACATCACATTTTAAAGCTTTCATAACTTCTGTTATTCTAGCCTTTGGATTCTTGATTCTATGAGCTTCATCCACAATGATGGCTGACCACTCTAAACTAGAAAGTGAGAAAAATAAAGAAGAAGAGTTGAGAAAACTTCCCTCTCTTAGTCTATATAATCATAGAGATTAGCTTTCTCTACCAAGGTCTGAAACATTTTTCTCTCTTTACTCTGTTCATGGATTCTCACTTCATTAGTTAAATTATTACAGATCTGGACCTCCATGAAATTAAAGTACATAATGACAAATGACAAAAAGGTCAATGGCTGAATAAAAAAAACTCATTTAAACACTTATAAAATCATAATAAAGGGTTTTAAAAAAATAAAGCAGAGACACAAAAAATCAAAGAAGCAAATTCTGCAACTCTAAATATGAACGAAAAACATCAATATAAACTCATGATTTTAAAAGTTATTTAATACAGGGAGAGTTCCGTCAAGATGGCGGACTAGGCAGAAGGATTGCACAGACCCTCTTCAACAAAGAAAAGGGAAACCAATTAACACAGACACAGAAGATAATCGTGGACC